ATCTTCTGTATACCCCCCCTACCTTGTCACAACACAACTGATTGGCTCAAACACATTAAGAAGGAAATAAATTCCACCAATTAACTTCAAAGAAGGCATACCTGTTAATTGAAATGCATTCCAGGTGACTACCTCATGAAGCTGGTTGAGAGAATGCCAAGAGTGTGAAAAGCTGTCATCAAGGCAAAGGGTGGCTACTTTGAATAATCTCAAATATAAAATATATTTTGATTTGTTTAACACCTTTTTGGTTACTACATGATTCCATGTGTGTTATTTCATAGTTTTGATGTCTTCACTATTAGTCTACAATTTAGAAAATAGTAAAAATAAAGAAAACCCCTTAAATGAGTAGGTGTGTCCAATATTTTGACTGGTACTTATATATATATATATACTGCTCAAAAAAATAAAGGGAACACTTAAACAACACAATGTAACTCCAAGTCAATCACACTTCTGTGAAATCAAACTGTCCACTTAGGAAGCAACACTGATTGACAATAAATGTCACATGATGTTGTGCAAATGGAATAGACAACAGGTGGAAATTATAGGCAATTAGCAAGACACCCCCAATAAAGAAGTGGTTCTGCAGGTGGTGACCACAGACCACTTCTCAGGTCCTATGCTTCCTGGCTGATGTTTTGGTCACTTTTGAATGCTGGCGGTGCTTTCACTCTAGTGGTAGCATGAGACGGAGTCTACAACCCACACAAGTGGCTCAGGTAGTGCAGCTCATCCAGGATGGCACATCAATGCGAGCTGTGGCAAGAAGGTTTGCTGTGTCTGTCAGCGTAGTGTCCAGAGCATGGAGGCGCTACCAGGAGACAGGCCAGTAGATCAGGAGACGTGGAGGAGGCCGTAGGAGGGCAACAACCCAGCAGCAGGACCGCTACCTCCGCCTTTGTGCAAGGAGGAGCAGGAGGAGCACTGCCAGAGCCCTGCAAAAATGACCTCCAGCAGGCCACAAATGTGCATGTGTCTGCTCAAACGGTCAGAAACAGACTCCATGAGGTTGGTATGAGGGCCCGACGTCCACAGGTGGGGGTTGTGCTTACAGCCCAACACCGTGCAGGACGTTTGGCATTTGCCAAAGAACACCAAGATTGGCAAATTCGCCACTGGCGCCCTGTGCTCTTCACAGATGAAAGCAGGTTCACACTGAGCACATGTGACAGAGTCTGGAGACGCCGTGGAGAACGTTCTTCTGCCTGCAACATCCTCCAGCATGACCGGTTTGGCGGTGGGTCAGTCATGGTGTGGGGTGGCATTTCTTTGGGGGGCTCGCCAGAGGTAGCCTGACTGCCATTAGGTACCGAGATGAGATCCTCAGACCCCTTGTGAGACCATATGCTGGTGCGGTTGGCCCTGGGTTCCTCCTAATGCAAGACAATGCTAGACCTCATGTGGCTGGAGTGTGTCAGCAGTTCCTGCAAGAGGAAGGCATTGATGCTATGGACTGGCCCGCCCGTTCCCCAGACCTGAATCCAATTGAGCACATCTGGGACATCATGTCTCGCTCCATCCACCAACGCCACGTTGCACCACAGACTGTCCAGGAGTTGGCGGATGCTTTAGTCCAGGTCTGGGAGGAGATCCCTCATCAGGAGCATGCCCAGGCGTTGTAGGGAGGTCATACAGGCACGTGAAGGCCACACACACTACTGAGCCTCATTTTGACTTGTTTTAAGGACGTTACATCAAAGTTGGATCAGCCTGTAGTGTGGTTTTCCACTTTAATTTTGAGGGTGACTCCAACTCCAGACCGCCATGGGTTGATACATTTGATTTCCATTGATAATTTTTGTGTGATTTTGTTGTCAGCACATTCAACTATGTAAAGAAAAAAGTATTTAAGATTATTTCATTCATTCAGATCTAGGATGTGTTGTTTAAGTGTTCCCTTTATTTTTTTGAGCAGTGTATATATGGCACATGATTTTACATTTGTATAGTTTTTGTAATTCTTATTGTGTGAAATTTGTTTTGTGTTCTAAGGAGAATGAGCTGAATGACATGCTGAAGTCACTGTACAGTCTGCCGGTGCCAAAGCCCTTCACCCCAGTCAACCTGAGTGTGGTAAGTACAGTGGATCCACTTGAGCTGTACATTGGAGAGCAGAGGGAGGGGGGAAAACGGAGGGGGGGAGAGAATAGAGATGGGAGAGGAGAGAAGGAGAGAGGGGCGATATCGGTGTGAAGACAGATTGGAGGTTAGAGAAAAGAGAGTGGCGAGATGAGAGTGCGTTAGAGGAGAGCTTGGATAAGGAAGAGAGGAGGCAGAGTAGTGAGATAGGTGAGGAGACGGGGCTGACACTTTGTTTAGAAACACAAGTGGTGTTAAGCTGTTAAACTCTGAGTGGTTGGTACCGGGTCCAGCGAGTTTTCCAGCTGGCCATAAATCATGCGCTATATGGTCATATTCATAGAGTATGCAATGTAGGTAAAGTCACCAAAAGTACAAACATTTAGTATGCATGGAAAGGGTACACCCTGATGGTCGTTGTAAAGCAATACATTTCCTTCTCCATCCACATTACCTTGTATGCATCCTCCTCATGCGCCATTGATGTAGCTCATTGTTTACAATATGAAAAGTGAATGGGAAAAGAAGTTTGACGTTTCTGAGTTTCCTGATTGCTAGGGTCATTTTAAGATGTCAGGCTTTAAAATCCGTTCAGCCATTTTGGCACAGTGACTCACTACCCAAACCAGTCGCAACTGGTTTCAAGTGGCCAAGAGCCAGGCCTACCCACTGGGGAGCCATGCCCAGCCAATCAGAATGAGTTTTTCTCCACAAAATGACATTATTACAGACAGAAATGCTCCTCAGCATCCCCCCACCCACCCTCAGACGATCCCACAGGTGAAGAAGCCGGATGTGGAGGTCCTGGGCTGGCGTGGTTACACGTGTTCTGCAGGTGTGAGGCCGGTTGAACGTATTGACAAATTCGTTGGAGGCAGCTTATGGTAGAGAAATTAACATTAAATTATCTGGCAACGGCTCTGGTGGAAATTCCTGCAGTCAGCATGCCAATTGAACGCTGTGGCATTGTGTTGTGTGACAAAACTGCATATTTAAAAGGGGGTTTTAATTGTCCCCAGCACAAGGTGCACCTGTGTAATGATCATGCTGTTTAATCAGCTTCTTAATATTCCACATCTGTCAGGTGGATAGATTATCTTTGCAAAGGAGAAATGCTCACTAACAGGGATATAAACAAATTTGTGCACAGTTTGAGAGAAATAAGCTTTTTGTGCGTATGGAAAATGTCTGGGATTTTTTTATTTCAGCTCATTTAACATGGGACCAACACTTTACATGTTGCGTTTACATTTCTGTTCAGTATATATCATTCCTGTAATACATATTTTTTAAATGGCACGTTGCAAAAGCCCTGCGCTTTTAAAATGGCTGTGTTTGCGCATGTTTAGAGCACCACCATTAGGTTAAATATATATTTTGTAAAAAATTTTTTTATAATTTTGCAACAGTAATTTTATCTCTTACTCCCCAACATAGGGACAATAAAAAAAAAAAGTAAATTTCTGGGTTTTTTGGAACCTTTATCATAATCCTTCATTTCTTACCTTTCTAACAGTACTAAGCATGTGTTTGTAGGACTTATAGTTTTGAAACCGAAATGTACTTTGAGGGTAGTATACAATACAATGTGTCATTTAGAAAATGCCGCCAGAGGGCGTCAGAGAGAGGTTAACGGTTAACGGGTCCGGGTCTTAACTGGATGTCTGTTAGCCTAATGGGCGCTTTCGCAACTCATCATGTCTGCTTGTTATCGTGGGCTGAAATGTCCTAATAACCGCCTTTCCATCAAACAGGCCATGTTTTAGTTACGTCTGACACTATCTCATATAGGATTACTGGACAAATATAACACTCATTTTTTAATTGCTCCTTTTCTATAACTGCCTTAAAATGATGGGGAATATATAGGTTTTAAGGACAAAAAACGAACAAAAATATAGGTTTTCAATGACCAAAAAAGCTACATTTGTTACATTTTTGTAAAAAAACAAACAGATAAGCAAACACAGCGAGGGCCTGGGACTGATGGAACTGAACTGGGGAGAATACACGCACACACGTGCGCGCAATGATCATGCTGTGCCGTGGGTTTATAAGGCAACAATAACCCACCATTCAGACATCACGCTACTCACTGACACCATTCCTGGAGGTGACCGCATCAATATTCTTTGACATTATTCATTGGAACATTGACAATGCAGCCAATAATGTGACAGTGACTCAGACGCATTTTATCGCCATCAGCGATTAGAAATTAGGTTACATCATTCATTTAGGTGAATTGTCATCAGAGGGTGTTTGTAGGTACTGTAGTTTTGCCTGTGCTTTAGTCACTTTTCCCAGGTGATGGGGTTTATGGGTGTTGTAGTTTTGGACCAGTGCTTGGTGGTGGGTTCTCTGCCTCTGCTCTCTTCTAAGGAGGCAAAACGCTGGGGTTAATTCGTTTTTTGGGTGTGATTTGTTGTGTATGTACACATGCACTTGTATGTGTGTCTGTCATCATATGGGTAAGAAAGTATCAAAAGAAAAGCATGACGGGGAGAGAGAAATTGAAAGTGTAAAGAGTGGTTAATGTGCAGTCCGGGCCTTTTTGATCCAAACAGTCAACCTGCTCTGCTCCCCCAAAGTGAGACAGGCAGCTCTCTGATCCGCTCAACAACCTTTGTGTGGTTGTGCTTTCTTTAATGCTGAAATAAAGACCTGGTTTCCCACCAGAGAGTTAATCTCATCTTAAATCTATAGGGTATAGGGATCATGGCTGCCGTGTGTGTCAGTGCTGCCCTCCTAGCTAAGTCAGTACAGACGGAAGCTAAACAATACCCACAGACCGAGGAGAAGAGGAGTCCTAGATCATGGAGCAAAGTGAAGGTGTTCTCTCTCTCTGTGAGTGGCGTGCTGCGCTACGTTGCTGACCCTGTCCTCTCTCTGTGTGCTTTGTGTTTCCTCAGCACTCCTACTTCATAGCCCCAGATATCAACGGCTTGCCCACAATCCCAGAGAGTGTAAGTCTACCCTTCTGGTCTACCAGCGTGCAAGAACTAGATCTTACCCTGTCAAATAGAGCACAAAATATATTGTGCATGTTGAATGAAATTGATTATTGAAATGTTTTTAGTTGGAGAGTGCGGTCCATTTTAATTTTCTGTGAAATACCGTAAACCTATGACCTGAATTTGTAAAAATGGTTACGTCCTCGACTTACAGCAAAGAGCCATCCCTAATGCTCAGAGAAGTGTGTCGTTATAAAGTCACTAACTGTCCTGTCTCTCCCGTTTCCCCAATCCAGAGGAACCTGACAGAGTATTTTGTGGCGGTGGACGTCAACAATATGCTGCATCTCTACGCCAGCATGCTGCACGAACGACGCATCATCATTACCTCAAGCAAGCTTAGCACTGTGAGTGCCTCTTCATTATACACTACAGTATGTTACAGATTCATGCCTAAAAGGAACAATATATTAACTAGGGTTTATGTTTCTGATTTAAACATGGCATTCCTCATTAATATTACAGCACTACATCAAACGTAATATCTAAACGTTCACAGTTTGAATGCATGCATGCACGCACACACACACACACACACACACACACACACACACACACACACACACACACACACACACACACATAGACAGAGGTCAGTGGTCCTCCAGTCATCCGGCTCCTCTATCTCCAGTCTCTGACAAGCAGTAAAGCCAGCACTAAACCAGGATTATATTTGACTGTTTGTCTTAAAGCTGCTAGGTTTTAATGGCCGACAAGCCCTAAATTATCAGTTATTAGGTATTTAACTCTCTGCCATAGTTGCTGTAGAGGTCTTTCTCTCTGTGCTTATCGTGGCTGACCACAGAACCAAATATTTATGACAGGGAGCTGGAGAGCACGAGTGATGTCATCCATGCTCCTATCTCTACCGTTCTGCTCCGGTATCTTACTGCAGGCCGGAATGCGGAACCGGGGGGGGGATCCAGAAAATTACCCGACCCTAAGAGAATTTCACCTCTCTTCCCCTCTCTCCTCCTCTCTCCCTCTCCTCCACTCACCTCTTTTCTCCCCCCACCCCTCAGCATGTCAGCCCTTCAGAGCCCCAGCCGTGCCCACTGACTCTGGGGGTTACAGGGTGTAAATGATCAGAGCCGCGGGTGACGGCTGTTTTCTTAGCAGACCACCCGTAAGCCTTTTATCATTTACAGTCCTTTGTCATCTGTCCATCCATCGATACATAAATGCAGTCCATTTTATTAGGAGTGTGTGTGTTTCTCTCAGTCCATCCCTGGCATTACTTTTAAAGAGTAGTTTGTAGAAAGAAGAGAGAGAGGAGGCCTCCAGCTGGCCCCTACTACCACTGTCCCTCTGAGAGATGGTGAAAGAGACAAAAAGGAAAGAGAAAGATAGAAATAGAGAGAAGAAGAAGGGGAGAGAGAGGAGGAGAGAGAGCAAGGGAGAGAGACTAGACACTGCATACATTATGTGGGCTCCAGGCAGAGGGGACTGCCTGTGTGTTAGGGCCGCTAGTGATCCCGCTGTGCCAGTGTAGCAGAACATGGCGGCACGCCTGCAAGCGCCCAACAGCAAAGGAATAAATCATGATGGTACAACAATGCATCAGTTGACTTATTGCTGTTTTGTGACCGGAGGTGAGCGGTACCACTGTTTTTGAAAGGCGTGTGGTGGTGCGATGCGATGGCCGAGGCAGCCAGCCGAGCGTGCAGGCTTGTCATGCCGCCGTATAATTGTGCTGCATCAGGCCCCCTCTAACTAGTCAGCTGGGAGGCCCCGTGTCTTTCATCTCCACCTCCCCTGGCCTCGCCGGGCCCTGGCCCCCTCGGTGGGCAGTCTGCAGGCCCCTGACAGCAGCCTTCTCATCATGCTGTCAGTATTATGCTAACTAGGACCATCCATCCACCACGGTCCTGAGTGCTAGCTGCCTGTCTGCCTGCCTCACCACCGAACAGCGCCTTGGCCCTACAAACGTACTTTTCACTATTCACTCTCCGCTTCTTCTAGTCTATCGACCTCCCTGCTTTCTCTCTCCGTCTCCCGTTGCTTTCTTTCTCTCTTGCTCCTAGTTGCTTTCTTTCAGTCTCTCGTTCTGCTTTCTCACTCTGTCACCTTTATTTCCGTCTCTTGTTCTCTCTTTCTGCTTTTTCTCTCTCTTTCTGTCCTCTCTTGTCCCTATAGCTACGTTTCTTATGGTGGCTGGTTGTTAGCGCATCATCTGTAGTCTGGGGTTTTGTTCCCCATTTTTGTATTTGGTTGCAGATTGTTTTTGTGTGTGTGCAGGGGTGGGTGTGACTTTGTGTGTGAGGGTGGCCTGGTGTTACTGCCTTGCCCTCCTTCTCTGTGTCTTAGTGCCGTCTACTTGTTAGTGGCACGCCTGTGTGGCTCTGCAGTGACACCAGGCGTTTGTCAACACACGGAGAGAGCAGAGCGGAGGTAATTGGGGATCTTCCTTTGGATGAGGAGAGAAGAAGGGGTGGAGAGGGAGGGATAGGAGAGAGCAGAGGGTAGAGGACGTGGGAAGGTGTATGAGGTTGGAGAGAGAGAGGGGAGGAGAGAGAGAGAGAGAGAGAGAGAGAGGGAGGGGGAGGGGGAGGGGGGGGGGGGGGAGAGGATTGGAGAAAAGGCAGAGAAGAAGGTTTGAGGTTTGTTGATCTTGCCTATTCCAGTTAAAGAATGGTGTGGGTGAGCAGCTGTAGCCCAGTTACTCCTGTAGTCTTTAGTTTGTAGGGCCCTGTCTCGGTGAACATCGCACTGAGAGTGTGTGCCTGGTTGACTGCTTGTTAAAGCAGATGTTTTGAAGGCAGAGGAACAAGCTCATCCGAATAAGACAACATAAAGGGTTGTGACGTGCTCTTTGATGGTTAACAAGTGTCTTTGATAGTTACCTGTCTGTTGCCACCCACGCTCCCTGTTCATATCACTGGTGAACTGCATTCTTCTGAGCTGCTTGCTTTCACAAATCAGTTATTAGTTATTAGTCCGTTTATTAGTTCCTTACTGAGTGCACTATACAATCATAACTGTCTTGAGGCAGGTCTCGCAAGGAAAATAGATTTTTTTCAATGAAATTGAATTAACAGTGGATATTTTGGGGGGCAAAAGTATCGTCGAACTCCTGACCGAGTTATTTAGGAATAGATTGATAGTTGGTACACAGTGTGCACAGACTGTTGTCTCCAGTTAAGGGGAAAGATTGTGTTAATATGTTCAGTTTCTCTCTATCAGTTTATAGTATTGTGTGTTTAATGTGGTCAGTTTATGGGAGGACTTAGGAGAGCTGTCAAGGCTGGATGGGCTCTGGTGCCTTCAGAAGCAGGCTGTTGCTGTATAATCTCTGACCCATCTGAGGCTCATTACTGGGAGGACCCCAGGTCCCAGAGGGCCAAGGCTAGCACCTAAAGCAGGCCTAATCCACTATTTGTTCTTGGGGACTGTATCTGTGATTCTCCATTGAATGGAATATTAAGCACCAGGTCTTTTGTGGAGCATGTAAGCCATTTGGCTCCACACATCTATTATTTATTAGCTTGGCAAATATTTTATCAGGCTCCTAGCCCCCCCCCCCCCCCCCCCCCCCCTGTGACCTGCTCTCTAGTGGAGCCCCTGAGAAAGAAAGAAAGAGGAAAAAGTGCTTACAAATGTCTCTTTTTGATTTAATCGTCTCTAAAACCTGTGTGTAGCCAGCTGTAGATAGACATGGGTTTGGTTTGGGTTAAATGTGAGAGGAAGTATGTGTACTATGCCTTTGGACTCCTCTACAACCTTATCTCCTTCCTCCCTGGTTGGTAGGGGGAGAAAGAAATCACATCTAGTTTTTGTTTTTAAAATGTTTCTTAGTTTCAGTAGAACCCCCCCCTTCTACCCCCCCATCCTTACAAGAGAGATACGCTGTCTCTTCTCTTTTAACCTGGGAGTGAAGCAGGCCAATTGGGGGCTAAGTGAGCCTCACCTTGAGGCCTGGCTGTGGCTGAGATAATTGCAGTTGGTTAGTTAGTTCTTCTGTCCCATTACCTCCTGGTACCAACGGCTGAGCCTACTCTCTCTCTGCCTCCCTGAGGAAGGTGTGTATGTGTGTGTGTGCGTGTGTGCTTGTCTGTGTGTGTGTGTGTGTGTGTGTGTGTGTGTGTGTGTGTGTGTGTGTGTGTGTGTGTGTGTGTGTGTGTGTGTGTGTGCTTGTCTGTGTGTGTGTGTGTGTGTGTGTGTGCGTGTGTGTGTGTGTGCGTGTATACAAAGGAGGTGTGCACCGCTGATCCACTGACCTCTCTTCATCATTATTTAATAGGTTTATACTGTCACCATTTACTAGGAGAGGAGAGAATGGCAAGACAGCTTTGATACTCTCCTGTCTCCAACTAATACACTCTCACATTAATATTCATACAATTGATTTAGTTCCTCCTTAGATATTTGTTTTTGCTGGGGAATTAAATCTGACAGGACTGTAGAATTGTTGTATTTTATTTGAAGGAGGCGGCAAGCGAATATGCATATGCAGATATGTGGAGCAAGACACCAATTAAAAGTTGATTAAACCTTAATGATTGTGGAACTCTGTGAGAGATTGCAGGAAAGTAAAATATTGCTCCTCTCTCTAAATAACAAATGAAAAAGGTTGAACCTCCACCAACCCCCCCCCACACACACACACACACACCTCATATGTTAAGAGCTACACAGACGTTCAGGCTCTTTCTTTAAGGGGGGGGGGTGCTCTTTGTGTCGGTTCAGTTCAGTCGCCAAGCTTGGCCGCGTTTGCTCGCTCGCCGGTCACTTGTGACATTTTGTGTAGTTTGTGTGTGTGTCTGCGGTTCACACTTCCAAGCGTAGCGCCTGCTCCCAGGTCCCAGCGGTATTCGCCCAGCCCGTAGCGCTAGCGGTCTCTCGACTAACTCATGTTTCATTCTTTGGCAATTTGCCCTAATGAAGTCCCCACAGAGCCCTCAGACCACTGTTCTCTTTCCATATTTAATCATGTTATTTTAATCTGCAGGATGAGCTAGCTAGCCTGCCCCTCTGTGTGTGTGTGTGTGTGTGTGTGTGTGTGTGTGTGTGTGTGTGTGTGTGTGTGTGTACACAAGTGTGTACAAATGTATACTAGTGTGTGCACGTGCGTGCGCAGGTCATTACAATTACTAGGTAGTCAAGAGCCTTTAAAACTCTAGGGTCACAGTCTCTACTCATCTATTTGTCTTTTTACATTATATCGTAAAAGAGAGAATAAAACTATCCTTTGAAAATCAACAGTGACTCTTCTGTGTCTATTTTTCTCCATTGATAACTAACAGGGGTTAATGTTTTGAGTTTCAGGTCGTTTTGTATCAGGTCTTTGTTGCCTGGCTGACATTATCTTCATCCTTTATTTCTTGTTGTGTATCCATCACAAGGTTTTACACCCCCCCCCCCCACACACACACACACACACACCACTCTTACCTGATTGATATCCATCTTTCAGTCTCTCTTCTTCAATTCCTCCTACTGTGTGTGTGCATGACACCATTATCAAGCTGTCAGTGTCATGTCTGAGTCTTGTTTTGTTGGGATGAAAGCTGAGCTATAAATTGGCAACAGTAACACAACAGATCATACAGTCTGTTTCTTGGGGGGGAAGGTTGAACATTTAGGTGTTTCACTAAAGATTGAAGCCCCTTAAAAGGTACATTCAGCAAGATGACATCATCATACACAACAGAGCCAATTGCCATCTTGCTGAATCTACCTTTAAAATGAAAACCAGCATACTTCTAGCCTCGAGTCAGATTTGAGAAAAAAGGGCTTTGTTATAACATGTTGTGTTTGTCCCTCTCGTCCTTCTGTAGTTAACTGCGTGTGTCCACGGCTCTGCTGCCATGTTGTTCCCCATGTACTGGCAACACATTTACATCCCTGTCCTGCCTCCACATCTACTGGACTACTGCTGGTAAGACTCTGCTACTGGACACACACACACGAGAACTCTTCTTATTCCTCTCACACTATTTTTGTAGTGAGGTTTTGCTCCATAATTAACAGTGTGAATGGTCTTTCTACATATTTGATTCCCTGGGCCGGTCAGCATCAATCTGTCCATGTCTTCACCCTCAGTGGATTTCATTACAACTCATCCAACACTAATCTAACAAGTCTGACTGGACGTTGACTGACCTCAATTGACCTCAATTTGTGGATATATGCAGAACTTAACCTATGGATTCTTGAGTCAGTGCCCAGATATGGCACAGGCAGTGAAATAACATATTTATATACATTATTAGTATAGTAGAATATTATATTCATACACATTTACTGTAATGTTTTTGCTTAGTGTAAAACCTGTTGATCACTGCCAGCTAAATAACACCAATCATGTCTTATGCCAAACGAATGGGCATTCCCATAATCAAATATCTACCAAATCACATTACAACCTCTCAAACAGAGTTAACCATGTGTTATACCATGACTCCAGCATTGTGTGTGTGTGTGTGTGTGTGTGTGTGTGTTTACATGAAAGGGAGAGCGGTTACAGTATTGTGACAGACCTACAGCAGGCCAGCTGTTGTAGCGAGATAGAACAGAACTTATTAACCAGTTAACCTGATTGAGGCAGCGGCCACAGAACAGAATAGGATCTACACACACACTCCCAGCCCTGCCAAGCCTTGGGCCCAGTGACGTTCCCCAGTTAGAGTAATCAGGTTTGTTTGGTTGAGAGCAGGCGGCGTTGGTTTCTGGGAAGTGTGTGAGGCGTTAATGATGTTAGATGGTGCAGGCATGTCCTCCCTGGTCCTCTCTGCCGCTAGCTGATTGGGTTACAGGACAGCGCTGAGGCTTGATTAATGATTAACAGTAAATACTGTATGTCTCGTTATAGACTATAGTAGGTAATAGTCTTAGCTGGAAAATGATATGTTAATAGTGTTATTTGTAACCGACTATCTGAAGTAGAAGATGGTTTTGCTAAAGGTACAGTAACATCACTGTAATAAATGATTTATTGTTTGGTTCTGTTCATCTGATCTTTGAGTGATTCCTCACGAAACCCAGACAGAAAAATACCTTGATTTTGATGAATTTCACGAAATGTAATACATAGAATAGTCCTTTAGAGGAAGGATTGTTGACATATATTTGATATTTGTATATAAAAGCAGAATTGAAGAAAAACCTTTCAATGTTCGCATGTTTATGACATTTTGGCCTTACCAAGGCCTTCTTTAAGACTCCATTGTGTTTCATCTGTAGGTGCTACAAAGCAAACATTTGTGTCATATGAAGTTTTACCGCTTGCTCTGTAATATGAGTAGCATTTTTATTTCACTATCCTTTTTTACGATAATTTATGAATATTGAAAAATATGAACATGTATATTGGAAATATACAATTTTTTATTTGGCACATTTTTTTATATATTGTTTAACATAATATACTCTACGAGCATATCAAAGTTCCAGAGTGGGATCTCTGCTACTTTTCAAGTTATGATCCAATTTGTAAGAATTACCAACAGTGAATGTGAAAATGGATTCAAAATCGTCGCCCTCTGCTGGTGATTTGCAGGATGTGCAACTTATACAAGTTAAAGGAGGGCTGTGGTTGGTTACATTGCCTACTATGCCAATTATTTTGTTTAAAATGGACCAAAGCTTTAAAACTAGAAGAGATCCAGATCCCCCCCCCCCCCCCCCCCCCCCCCACACACACACACACAGGCCATACATTATTAATATTCATAGAGCATGCAATTTAGGTCAAGTCACCAAAAGTGCAAAAGTGTTGTGTGCTTGGAAAGGGTACACCTTGGTGGTCATTGTAATACAATGCATTTCTTTCTCCATCCACATTTAATTTGACATTGCCTTGAATGCATCCTCCATATGCGCCGTTGAAATATCTCACTCATTTCCAATGGGGAAAATGAATGGGGAAATTAAGTTTGAAGTTTCCTTGCCTGTCTGTGTGTTATTTAAAATCACTAGGGTCCTTTTAAGATGTCAGGCTTGAAAATCCGTTCAACCATTTTCACGCAGTGAGTCACTACCCAAACCAGATCAAACCAGACACATCTGGTTTCAAGTGGCCAAGTCACATCATGTGATCTTCTACTGCGATCTAGTGGACGAACTGGGAATCAAACATGAGGTCTGATTACATCAGTGAAAAGGTTACGACTTCAGCGTTCTCATCATACTGTATGCACAGTCCATTCGGAAAGTTTTCAGACCCATTGACTTTTTCCACATTTTGTTACATTACAGCCTTATTCTAAAATTTATTAAATTGTTTTTGACAAAGCAAAAACTGGTTTTCATACATTTTTGCAAATGTATAAAAAAAAAGAAACTTAAATATCACATTTACATAAGTATTCAGACTCTTTAATCAGTACTTTTTTGAAGCACCTTTGGCAGCGATTACAGCCTCCAGTCTTCTTGGGTATGACGCTACAAGCTTGGCACACCTGCATTTGGGGAGTTTCTCCCATTCTTCTCTGCAGATCCTCTCAAGCTCTGTCAGGTTGGATGGGGAGCATTGCTGCACAGCTATTTTCAGGTCTCGCCAGAGATGTTTGACCGAGTTCAAGTCCGGGCTCTGGCTGGGCCACTCAAGGACATTCAGAGACTTGTCCCGAAGCCACTCCTGCATTGTCTTGGCTGTGTGCTTAGGGTTGTTGTCCTGTTGGAAGGTGAACCTTCGCCACAGTCTGAGGTCCTGAGCGCTCTGGAGCAGGTTTCATCAAGGATCTCTCTGTACTTTGCTCCGTTCATCTTTCCTTGGATCCTGACTAGTCTCCCAGTCCCTGCCGCTGAAAAACACCCCCACAGCATGATGCTGTTACCACCATGCTTCACCATAGACATGGTGCCAGGTTTCCTACAGACATGATGCTTGGCATTCAGGGGAAAGAGTTCAATCTTGATTTCATCAGACCAAAGAATCTTGTTTCTCATTGTCTGAGAGTCCGTTAGGTGTCTTTTGGCAAACTCCAAGCAGGCTGTCATGTGCCTTTTACTGAGGAGTGGCTTCCGTCTGGCCACTCTACCATAAGGGCCTGATTGGTGGAGTGCTGCAGAGATGGTTGTCCTTCTGGAAGGTTCTCCCATCTCCACAGAGGAACTCTGGAGCTCTGTCAGTGACCATCGGGTTCTTGGTCACCTCCCTGACCAAGGCCCTTCTCCCCCGATTGCTCAGTTTGGCCGGGTGGCCAGCTCTAGGAAGAGTCTTGGGGGTTCCAAACTTCTTCCATTTAAGAATGATGGAGGCCACTGTGTTCTTGGTGACCTTCAATGCTGCAGACATTTTTTGGTTCTCTTCCCCAGATCTATGCCTCGACACAACCATGTCTCGGAGCTCTACGGACAATTCCTTCAACCTCATGGCTTGGTTTTTGTTCTGACATGCATGTCAACTGTGGGACAGGTGTGTGCCTTTCCAAATCGTGTCCAATTGAATTCACCACAGGTGGACTCCAATCAAGTTGTAGAAACATCTCAAGGATGATGAATGGAAACAGGATGCACCTGAGCTCAATTTAGAGTCTCATAGCAATGCGTCTGAATTCTTATGTAAATAAGGTATTCCTGTTTTTTATTTGTAATACATTTGATAATTATTCTAAAACCTGTTTTCACTTTGTCATTATGGGGTATTGTGTGTAGATGTTTTAAAAATCCATTTTAGAATAAGGCTGTAACGTATCAAAATGTGGAAAAGGGGAAGGGGTCTGAATACTTTCCGAATGCACTGTGTGTATACATATAACCCGATGGTATATGTGTGTGTTATATATATATAATATGCAGTAATTATTTTATCCAGTCATTATCATTAATCATTTAGTCCTGACTCAGATCCTCCTTTCAAATGTTCTCCTCCATAGTGCCCCCATGCCATACCTGGTAGGAGTTCATCTCAGTCTGCTAGAGGTAAGTCAAACATTTCAGACACATCATATTATATCTAAATCAGAATCTGATTCTGAATTTAACCTGCTATATTTTATTAATATGTATTATGATTTGGTATCTAGTATTTAAATGTATTTTAACACGGTGGGGTGGATGTGTACAGTCTATAAGTGTAATCAAACAGCTGTGATTGCAGCTGTAAGAATGAATTCAATTGTGAAATTCTTAATGGTGCAATATTTACATTGACGTATCCCACTGGAAACAGGAAACACTGGAAAGCTTGTGTGGGTGTCTGTGTGTGCATATCTGTGTGAGTGTGTGTATATGAGAGTCTCCGTATCACAGACTATCACAGACAGAAGTGACAAACTAGAGACCCCCACCCCCCCCCCCCCCCCCCCCCACCCCCACCCCCACCTGCCTACTGAGCACCATATAAAGAACAGTGTGGTTTGTAGCTATCAGGAAGACTACTGTTGATGCATGAGGCTTTACGCCGCTAGAAAATGTTTTCTGACTTTGAATGTTTGCTGTGTGCTATTTTTCATTTTGGTGTATTTGTCTGTGTGTGTGGAGTAACGTTGTTTGACTGTAGTTTAAAATGTTACTTGTCAGTCTATTTCAATCTAGAACACTCTGGCTGTAAAACGAGCATGTGGGTTTGAGGTTATAGAACAGGTCTTTGTGTCTTATTATAATGACCTGTGAAAGTAGCGAGTTCTAGAACAATAAAACATGTAATTGTTCCATTAAAAACACTCTGAGATTAATAAATACGGTCTGTGTTTAAATTTATATAACTTTTTTTGGGAGGGAAAAATATTTTTTACACCACATTTGTAAAAAAAAATGTGCTGGTGTGTGACACGGGATGTTGTTTCTTTATGATGATTGGTGTGCGTGTGTGTTTAGCTGATGACCTGTGTTTCTCCTCTCAGAGAGTGCGTAGCAGGTCATTAGAGGATGTAGTGATTCTGAATGTGGACACCAACACACTGGAGAGCCCCCAGGATGACCTACAGAACCTGCCCAG